TTATTTAGGACATCAAACTTTATTTTTCTAAAGTATTTTTTCATATTCAATGTTGTCAGGGATTTAAAATTTGGCACAAAATTTTTCCAAAGACTCTACTTAATTCCATATTCATTTTGAGTTGATGGGCAAAATTAATTTTTCCTCCTCTGTTTCTATTTATTCTCCTTTAACCTTCATATGAATTAATAATTTTAAAAAAGAAAAACATCCCTGATAACTATTATTGTATACCTATTTTGTGCCAGATGTGTAAGATGTCTTCTAATATTGAGATTAGTAGTGACTATTTCAGAGGAGGTTCAGACAGGTTATGTCTCATTCAAGCCTACTGATATTTGACAAAGACATGAATAGGGCTTGGTTCTAAGTTCTATAGTCTTTCTAACATATATCAGCTGTTTCAACTATTTTTAAAGAAACAGACAATGGCCCAGCCAGAGTGGCTCAGTTGGTTGAGCATCATCCTGTGCACTGAAAGTTTGCTGGTTTGATTCCTGGTCAGGGCACATACCTGGGTTGTGGGTTTGATCCCTAGTTGGAGAGCATATGGAAGGCAACCAATCGATGTGTTGCTCTCTCTTTCTCTCTCCCTTCTTCCCTCTCTCTCTAAGCATGTCCTTGGGAGGATTAAAAAAAAAGAAAACAGACAATGATGAAGTATTTCTATGTATATATTATTTCTATGTTGGTTTAAGAAGTGGGACATATAAGATCCTTATCTTTGACATTTTCAAGCATAGTCTGAACAAAATAGCCTGAAACATAATCAAAGTAAAATCATGGAGAATAGTAACTTTTGAGGGGCCTGGGAGGAACCAATCATTCAGTTTTGCATTTTCAAAAGTGAATGGAGGGTATAGATTTGCAGTGATAAAAAGAAAACCTGAGAATGCCTTAAAATTCTACTCAGCAGAGGGCAGTCGTGTACACAAAATGAGTTAACCAAAATGAGAGGCATCACAAACAAAACAAATTTGATTCAAAGGCACTTTTCCAACATGATTAGTCTAAGTCCCTCTACAAGTTCCCCCTGTTAGTGTGGTTAAACCTGATTTGAAATGAAGACCACATGTAATTCTCAGTTCATTGAGAACATACTTTAGAGTTATTTTTCCCATGAGGATGCATTAGTCTAGTCTAGTCCCTTCGATATAGCTGCCCCCCCAAGTGGCTTCTTGCTATAAAATTTTCTTTTGTCACTAATATTTAATGACTATTAAAAAGGGTCTATATTTACAAGGGTTGTCAGTTTTGAATAGATATAAAATCAAGGTGCTTTAAAAAATTATCTCTCCCTTAGTCTTAGGATGACAGTGTTCTACGTGCCTGTCATTTTGACTCATTTCCCCAGATGGGGAAGGAAACACTCTACCATAAAATATAAATCTTTTTGGCTTTCCAAAATATACCCAGAGGAAAAAAACATATATACTCCGAAAAGCAAGCATTAGATTTTTATATAAATGACTGTGCCAGACAGTAAGCTTTTTCCACATTAAGTTGAACATTTTCCCTACCACGCTTCCAATTAGTAGATTTAGAGGACCCTCTGGCAGCACTACCACTGAGGTCTCACTTGAGGGACTGTACAGACTCCCTTAGTTGGTTGGCCCCGTTCTGGGAGCCACTGGATGCAAAGTGTTAATGGAAGCGCTTTAGGACCAAACAGGTTTCACACGGCACCCAGTGCACAGCCTTCAGACAAGCTCCCGGTGCACCCACCTGGAAGTCGGCAGTTACGGACCCCCCACAGACGTCAATTAACTCGGTCATGTCATAATAGGCATCAAAGGTCCAGACACAGCTCTTCAGGTTGAGGTGTTTGTAGAGCTGGATGGTCTTGTGCTCCCGGACACTGGGGTCAAACTGGAAGGGGCGGTCATAGCCAGGCCCCATGGCCGTGCTGTCGTAGACCTTGTCATCTAGGAACCCTGCCTCTGTGGGGGACGGGGGACAAGAAACAGTAACCCAGTGTGCAGACTTGCCCTTGCTGGCTGCCCAGGAGCTGGGTGGAGAGAAGGGAGACGTTCCTCTGAGACTGATAGAGTTCTCCCTCCATTCGAGACTCTATTACTAGAGCAACCCAGGGCTCCTAACACACACAACAAGTGGATGGGCATTGGTTAGCTGCCTGCTGCCACAGGTTAGAGTGCCTGGGTTCACAGACGCCTCTAAGGGGCTGCAGGAACCTGGGAAGAAAAGGGGAACAAATGCTTCCGTAAATGAAGACCTCAGCTCGGTGGCCCTGCTTATCTTGGAGAAGAAAACACATTGAAGCTTTGCCACACCCGGCAAGCCGGGTTCTGTGCTTCACAACCAGCCCTTGAAGAAATGGGTTTACTATATGGATAATCTGTTGATGAGTTATTATTTTTCTAAGACCAGTTTTTTAAGACTGATTTTTATAAAATAGCTTTTATGAAAAGCCAACAAACATATGTCTATGCCTTCCCCACCCCACAAAGTTCCTGAACTCTTGGGGGAAAAAAAACACCTTAATTGTATGTTAATGAGCAAATAGCTTGCTAATGATGCTTGACTAAAACTTCCCTGCCACAGTCAAAAATTATTGGATCAAATGCTGCCAAGCAACTGAACTACTTTAAATGAAGGAAGACCTTTATGCCATGGAGGGCTAGACACAGATACAACTTCAGAATATTAGGGTTGAGATTTTTAGAGTACTAAAAGAATTCTAGTATTCTGCAAAAGTCGATGCATTTTTTCAGCACCCAACCATCTGCCCCACGAGGACTAGGATCTCAATTCACACGTGTTGAATTTAATTATTTGAGTAGGAAGAGGTGCAAACTTTCAGCCTATGAACATAGTATGTTTCTTTCTCTAGCTCTGTATGTGGAGCGATTAAGCTTTCATGTATAGCTCAGTGACTTGGGAATAATTTACACTCAACTAATTTCTACTATATGAAGACCGTCACTACGCAAAGTGATGCTTAATGAATATGAAAGAGCATATGAATGCTTTTCTATCTTCAAAAACACTGTTAAATGGATCATCAGCGTGAAGGCAGGAAGAACACATTTAGTGAGCACTTGCTAAAGTCAATGGGAAGGGACTGGATCCTTAGTAAAGTAATGTCTGCCGTGGGAGAGGCACCACCCCAGCCATCAGCTCCTTAGGGTCTGTGTCAGCCACAGAGCCACTCAGCCCGAGGCCACGCCCTGGCTGGGGCACCAGTATCCAGTGACTGAGCAAGGCGGGCAGAAGGTCTGTCCCTTGGGGCTGACAATAGGACAAGTCTGACTGGTGGGCACTCTCCAAAGCTCCAGGGAGAGCTAGCTAGTCCAGGCTTCATCGGGCTGCATTGCAGCTGGACTTCTCCCTCTGTCCAGTCCTGCTTCCTCTCCTTCCCGTTCATCTTGGCCCCTGACTCCACCTCTGCTCCTGCTCCTGGAGAACCCATCCTAGAACAGGTAACATCCGCACGTGAGCTTCCTACAGAGGCTGTGATCATGCGATTTATGGGCACAGATCATAACATGCTCACTTAGAGGGAAGGGAAGGAACAAAAATGTACCATAGGTGGCGCTTTAAAAACGCCAATGCATTTATGTCAGTCAGAGAAAGACAAATAGCAATATGATTTCACTCGTTTGTAGAATCTAAAGAACAAAATAAACGAACAAACAAAACTGAAATAGACTCATGGATTGGTGGTTGCCACTGAGAAGTACAGATTGGCAGTTATAAAATAGTCATGGGGGTGTAAAGTACAGCATAGGGAATATAATCAATAATATTGTAATAACTATGCATGGTGCCAGGTGGGTACTGGAAATATCAGGGAGAACACTTTGTAAAGTATATGATTGGCTAACCACTGTGCGGTACATCTGGAACTAATACAAAATAATATTGACTGCAAACTAAATAAAAAAATAAGTGAATCAATAAATAAAAATGCTAATGCATTTAATCCTCACCTTCACTGGTATCAATTGTTTCCTCATGCTGTAGGTAAGAAAAGAATGGCTTGGGGAGGTCCAGCTATTTTTGTTCAGTTGTATAGGTAGCGGACTAAGGATGTGAATCTAAGTCGGTTTGATTCCAAAGTCCCCGGTTTTTCCTATTCATGTCCCTGTCTGAGCTGCTTAGGTTTGGTTGCCTGCTAAGAAGGAAATCCACTAATCATGCGTGTCACGGGTCTGGGAAAACATGCAGAGCAGGGTCCACTCAGTCGCGGGTGAGCCAGCACAGAGCATCCCTCACCTGACATGCCTCTCAGGTCGCGGGTGGTGACCAGATTGGAGCAGATGTGCTGGTGTCGGTAGATGGACTCGGATAACAGGAAATGCAGGTTGTGCAAGGGCATGGTGGAGATGAGGGGCAGCATTCCATCCTGGTGTGGGATCTGCACCGAAATGTGGATTCTAAGGGGGGAAAGGGCAGAACAACGTGTTTAGGTGCATGCTATTAGCAGTTCACAGGGTACATTTCTTTCTCCAAACCCCCTTTTGCCTTCACCAGTGAATTTCCCAATTTTTTTTGTTTCCCAAAGCTTCCCATGTTGTAAGATTTCTCTCTGAACATGAGGGTCTGATGCACACGTGGGGTTGTTTTTTTCTCCCAAGAGATCCTTCAGACTCAGGACTGATAGCAATCAAGAGTTATAGATTTTTTTTGTTCAATACGAGAAAAGATAACATCACAACCACAAATTACTTTAACGCTTTCTTTTGCTTTGAATGGAAGCTTTGTTTCCTCATGAGCCAAAGCTGACTGACGGCTGGCTGTAGGCTTTCCTTCTGTCTCAGTGAGTGTGTGGGGGTTGGGTGGGGTCAACACTCGTATTTCTTTAAAAAAATATGTTTTAAAAATAATTTTTAAAATAAAAGACATCATTGAGCTCTTACACGCTAAGGCCAATATCTCTATCCAAGAAAATATCTTAGGAGTAGTAATATCCTACTCCTCATCCCGTGCCTCCCCAGCTGAAAGGCCTTCCGTCTCCTCAGTGGCCTCAGTGGGCAACACGCTCTCCTGTGATCTACATCCCTCAGCCTCTGAGTGCCTTTCCACCAGAAACTCTGTAACTTACTTATACTGGCTGCTATTTCTTGTATGTCTCCCTGCTTCCCCACTCGGAGGACCAGACCATTTCCTTCACTTCTTTTGTTTCTCTAGAGCACGTAGCATACAATTTTAAATAAAATATAAGCCTAATAAATATTGGTTGAGACTGCACCACCGTGGACCTGTACTTATAGGCTGTGTGTTTTTTTCATTGTACCAAGTTTAAATTTTCAGAATGTTTATTGAGGTGCATTTTGAGTTTTACAGCTTATCTCTCAGAGCAAAGACCCACATTTATAAGAGGAATTAGAATTCTGGGATATGAACAGGATGGCTCTTGGTCAGTAGTGCCCTGGGTACTTCTGTTATTGCTTTTTAACAAAGATAAATTTTATTCTGTGAGAACAAAAGAAGGATTTGCCTATTTTTAGCTATATATTCAAATCTGTTTTTTTTTCCATGCAAATAAGCCCCTTTCCCTGAACTCAGTTGCTCATAAAGGCGCACATATAAACACTGTGAGGTTTAATGAATATGTACAACATACATAAATTCTTTTTCTTTATTTGCTATGCAAAAAATGAAAGTATTCATCTTCCATCAAAATCAGGTGGCACAGGAAAACATAAAAGCACATATATCCTCTGGGGAAGCACTGCCCTAGGCACAGGGGATACAAAATAAACACTCATGGTCCCTGCCCTCACCATCCACTATCGGGACAGAGAGGGAATGAATAGTGATGATGCTCGGAAAGAGGCACATGGGTGCCAGAAGAGCTGGAAGGAGGATCTTTCCAAATGAAATTGGAGGAGATGATGAGAAGTTCTTAGAAGATATGCTCTGAGCTAAGTATAGTAGGACAACTAGACCTAACTACACAGCGTGGGAGGGGGCGGGGGCTGGAGTCAGGAGTAGCAGCATAGCGGGGCCCGCCACCTGAAGGAGTTTGAAGCCCTGGGGAAGTTGCAGTGATTCTCCGTGGTGGACTGGCAGGTGAAAATGTCAAGGGGAGAGAAATGAGGCTAGGATAGGCAAGGGGACAGAAAGTTTTTCTGAAGCATGCCTCACCACCACATCGGTTTGGCTGAAGCATCACTCTTAGACCCGCCCTGCCTAGAGGACACACACAGAAGAGCCCTACGCCCTGTCATTGTGGAAAGCACCACCAGCCTGACCTGTTCGGATGCTCCTTGTGTTTGACATCCAGGTACTTCAAGGTCGCGATGAAGGACTGAGCCTGGAAGCCTCTGGCTGTCCCAGCCATGACGGGGGTGTGGCAGATAGCACTGTCTGTCCCAATGGTAACAATGTTGCTCCTTAAGGGGGTCCCCACATGGCCCACTTTGTCTACAGCCTTTGCCACACAACGCACATGGAACCTCCGGCTGAAGTAAATGCTATCCAGGACCTACCGGGAAGAATAAAACACCTCAGGCAAGTGTACACTACTTACACAGCTCCTTCAACTGTATCTTCCGGATGATAGGACACAAGTTCCTGGTACAAGATAATCTGTGAAGACAATTCATCATCCATCCACCCACCTACCCACCACTTCAGTATGACTCTCCACCAGGAGCCAGGCACTATGGACAGATGGTGAGTACTCACAGCCTAATTCAGTAAGTCAGACAATGAGCAAGTAGACAGATGTGGAGCAAGAGCCGAGATGATTGGTTCCGAGTGCCATACTGTTCTCTTTATCTCTTAGGTTCTGCATAAGAACCTCTCAACAGGTTTTCAGCCCTTCTAGCAAGAGTCATTGGCCTCCAAGTCAAGTTTGTTTAAGGCTTGGTGCCTGGATACAGAGGAGAGATGCTTCCTTCTTAGGAGTTCTTAGTTTTCTTCGTTTTCTAATTCTTTCTCTCCTGCAACCCCCATCTAACGACCACACACATAGCTTAAAGCTGGGAACTTGGCTACTAACACCGACTGGTCTTTGAAGGTCTTTCTACAGATTCTTTCATGCTCCCAGACATACAGAAGCCACAGAGTGCTTAACTTCATCAATGCAGAGGCAGCATGGTCACCAGGACTCTTAGGTTATGTGCGCATACAGATGGAGAAGCAAACAACAGAAATAATTAATTGGTAGTCTTGTGTGCCATAGACCTCCCACAAAGCAAACATACAAACTTATAAATTCTATCCATGAAAACAATTTTCACTGAAGCCTATTAAAAATTAAAGAAGATTTTCCCATTAAAAATTTTAATTAGCTGCCAATGCCTTATTTGTTTATTTATACATGGACTTAGTTCAGAAGGGATTTGAGGCAGCTTACCAAAATGCATAAAATACAATGATATTAAATAAATAATTGAAGAAATAAAGATAGAGCAAAGGGAACTGGGGTAAAAGTATTAGTCACCAATTCGTTGCAAGAAGAAAAACTGAAATATAAAGTAAAATTACGAACTTGGTACCTGTTAGAAATATTTGGCTCAAATCAGAGCAAACTCCCTTTATGGTTTCGTTGAATGGAGACTTAGATACTTATGAAACAATACACTATAAAGGCTTGCCATTTAAAGTTCTTAATCATATAAAATATATTTTAAATTTGAGCTAGGTTATGTTGCAAATGACTTAACCTTCTAGCCTTTCTGAATAAGCTGTGCCAAAGCACTGGGCATCAATCACCTCACTTTATCCAAAGCCTCCCATCCATGTCTAATAGTTCTTCCACTAGTATCCCATTGAAGTGATGCACTTATTAAAGTGGGAACAAACTGTAGTTTGAATAGGAGAAATGGAGAGAAATTCATTCTAAAAGAAATTTCTAATTTCCCAGATAATTAAGTGCATAATTTCAGTACAAAGTCATTGAGTGCTTACTATGTGCCAGATATGGGGCTGAGCCTGCACCCCACTGCTTCCAGCTCTCTCTCTGAAGAGATGAACTTGGCTGGTGCGATGCGTAGCCCCTGTTTCCTCGGCCTGGGAAACCATCTCTGTTCACCGTTCTCTGGTGGTGGCAGGGGTGTTGGTCTGGTTTCCTCTCTGAGGACAGCAACTGCACTGTGAACTTGCTTTCATGTTTTCCCACAAGACTTTGTACAATGATGATCACTCAGTAAGAATTTTATCTTTTTGTTTAATAACTGGTCCCTGCTATGTGCCATGGATGTGCTGGCCACTTTGAAAAATACGAATGTGGTAGAACTCTTGGTCCATGTCTTTATAGAGTTTATAGACTACTTCAGTGGTTGGCAAACTGCAGCTCGCGAGCCACATGCGGCTCTTTGGCCCCTTGAGTGTGGCTCTTCCACAAAATACAGTGCGATTGAAACTTCGTGGCCCATGCGCAGAAGTCGGTATTTTGTGGAAGAGCCACACTCAAGGGGCCAAAAAGCCGCACGTGGCTTGCAAGCCACAGTTTTCCGACCACTGACTTACTTGTTGAACAATTAGAGAGATGTGAAAAAAAGTGATCTTTAATTGTACCTAACTGGAACCTTTGACTTACTATACCATTTATAGGTCACTTTTACATCTGATTTGCCAATGACCTTGTCAAATGGCTAAGTGGAAGAGGTACAATTTTGCAGACCAGGAAACTGAGACTCAGAAAGATGAAGAATTATTTGGCACAAATGTCAAGAATGTAGAGGATGAGAAATTCTGTTCAAACATAAGAGTAATACCAAACCTCTCAACATCACATAATTAAAAACAGACTGAATTAAGATTTGTAAAAAGGTTGTCTGAGTACTAGCTTAGTTCTTTCTACTACACCATGTTACCTTCCTTATATATAAGAATAAAAAGACTATGTGTAGCTGCTCATTTGCTTATTTTATTTATTTATTTATTATTAATTTTTAAAAAAAATATTTTTATTGATTCCAGAGAAGAAGAGAGAGAGATAGAAACATCAATGATGAGAGAATTATTGATAGGCTGGCTCTTGCATGCCCCCCAGGCCCAGACCCCAGACCTACCATGTGGTTGACACTGGTGAATGGTGTGTTGTCGGTGATGGTCTCAAAGGGAGACCGGGCCCCGTTGCCATCAGTGGGGGCAGCCACTTCCCAGCTGAACTGCACGGATGTCTGGTTGATGCCAGCCTCACTGCAGCGCTCCCTCGTGATGGCATACTTGGGGAAATGAGGGTCGCAAGGGGTGACACAGACCAGCGGGTAACCTGGGGAGGGAGATTTCTTGACTCCTTCCTTGGTAACCTCTTCCACATGGTCATAGTCCACAAGTGTGACAACCTGCAAAGGAGCAACAAAGCTTCAGCCCTGGTTAGGTGTCGGGAAGGTGAGAGTACTAAGGCTCTAAAGCAGGGGTGGGCAATGTCTGGCCCGCGGGTCCTAGAAGGCCCATGAAATCATTTGGTCTCGCGCTGCCAAGGCAAGCGCAGGCAGGACTCAAAATTCAATAAATCTAGGAGCTTTTATTCATAGTAACCTAAGTTTATGTTAAGTGAATTATATTAAGCAAATTATGTTATAAATATCCAATGGATAAAAAAAGAAGAGTTTAGGCCAATAAAAAAAGCAGCCATTTATTAATAAACTGCAATGATGTGTAAGTGACATGGAAACTAGTCCATTTCGCACTACCATGCTATTTAAAGGAGACGACATAGTCTGATAGTCAGAGCCTGGTGTTTCCTCTACCACAGCTTTACCCTGATCAAAAAGCTCCTCTTTTTAGGGATTGTGACTCTTTACACTTTTCAAACCACCATTATTATTAATTTTTTAAAAAAATATTTTTATTGATTCCAGAGAAGAAGAGAGAGAGATAGAAACATCAATGATGAGAGAATTATTGATAGGCTGCCTCTTGCATGCCCTCAACTGGGGATCAAGCCCGCAACCCAGGCATCTGCCCTTCTGTCCATAGGCCAATGCTCTATCCACTAAGCCAAACCAGCTAGGACTCATTTGCTTATTTTATTCCAAATGCCATACATGGACCTTAGGGAACTTGACAGAGTCTGAGGAACAAACAGAAACATCAGTTCTTTCTCT